GCTAAACTATAAAGGAATAAATCCATTTTGATTTACAATGAGTCCTTTCAGTTTAAAAATGCACCATCTCCCTCCCTAGCAATTTTTTGTTCAAAGCAAAGTGGTTGGGGATCACCAAATCAGAGACTTTATTCTCTTCAGGACTATTCTGGAGCACTGCTGTGTTCCTCCTTGCTGTGCCATCATCCACAGCAACCTTCCCAGTGATTGTATTGTTCTGCAAATGATTTTTCATAGCATCACTGCTCCTTTAGTTACCCTCTACTTTTTCATATCTAGCTTTCCCACTAAGAAAGAAACAACATATTCTCTGTTTAGTAAGAGTTTTCCTGCAGCTTCCAGAGCTCCAGTGTACCATGAGATATGGGTTTCTGTTCTCCCGCCATGATGCACCATGAAAACACAGCACGTGGATCAGACCCACTTTTTCACAGTTCCTGGGGACACAGGCGAACAAGCCGAGAGCCAGACCCCTCTGTGCTCTGAGCAACGCTCATTCCCAGCATCTGAAATATGACCAAGGTGCCTCTTCTCTACTGGAGAAACCCAGGTTACTGCCCAGAGCAGAGCACAGAGAGGATTTGAGCCCAGTGAGCAGAAGGCACATCCTTCTGTGGTAGTTTTTCTCTGAAGGGATACTGTATTGTCAGTTGAGAGCAAAAGCAGCAATAAGGATGTGAGCCTGGAATATGTGGATTGGCCTTTCTCTCTTTTATGCCACTTTCAGAGGTCTTGTTTGTTGGACATTTCTGCCAATGCTCATCTGCTTTTTGGGCTATCCCTGGTGTCCAGCACTAGTCTGTCATCCAGCTCTGCTGTGGGCACTGGGGCTTCCAGTCGACTGGGTCCCAAGGACCCTGCAGATGGACAGACCCTTTTTCTCCAGATATCCCAGGAGAAACACATTTTGGGAGTCCCACTCTCAGACCAAGGTTCAGCTCCTATCAGAGTACTCCTCAGCTCGTATCTGAGTTAAGGGAATCTTTCAGGATCACTCAGCTTCTGCCCCAGCCTCTCAGCAACACGTGGCACGTTGGGTCAGTGCCAGACTCCTTCACCTCAGCGTCAAGGTCGCTGTAACTGAGAGCAAAGCTGGCACGTGTTTCCCATCCCTCTTTGCTCTTGAGAAAATCCACTGCAGCCCTGGGATGTTTGGGAGGCTATTGCATATTTTTCCATTGGATTAGAAGCATGAACACTGCAATGAGAAACGTAACCTAGTTTGCTGCATGGATTTTGTATTTAATCCACCCCACCCTCTGTGTTGCAAAACACGGAGGTTGTGGCATCAAAGATATTATTTAACTAGATATTGGCCAAGGTACTGATAACCATCTCCACAGGTAGCTGAGGATGACCAACAAGGACTCTGTAAGTGTCCCATCTCTCCTTGAGGAAGAATCTGGAGGCCTTTTGAAAGAGAATAGTTACATAGTTCTCCACAACAAATGCTGGCCAGTTACAAGTTGCCAGCTGCCAAATATGCCCATGAATGCTGCAGATTTTCTTCAGTAATTAAATAACTGGGTTTTTCATTATGTTTTGGGTTGGTTTTTTTTTTTTTTTTAGCACAAATGCAGCTCACAGCTTTAGTCAGATTACCCCAATGTTGTTTCAGACTCTCAGGTTTCTCTGGGATATTCAGCTGAGGACTGTCATACAAAGGGTGCTCACCTTCTAGCACTGTAAAGAAAGAGGCTGCAGATTTGTCCAAAGACTCCATAAAGCTATATTTTCTTAAAAGTGTTCTCATGTGATTCTAGGAAGCAGGGCACTACTAGACTCCCCTCAGTGGCATATCAGAGATCTGTGGTGATTCAGGCACTGCTCATTCAGCAAACCCCCTAAAAATGACCTTTTCAAAAAAGCCTCCCAATCAGGCAGCCAGTCACTCTGCCTCCTCCTAACACTTCTGCAGGGGCACATTTTGGTTTTGCCCAGATCTACTGCGAGATGGGAACTTTCTCTTTTCCAGTCCTCTTCTCCTCACTGCTTTTTGGGAATGGTCATCTCAGATGAATGGGTCCCTTCTCCAAGACCACCCTCTGATGTGTGGTGTACCCATTCTCTGGGGAGATAACATGCTGCTTCCAGGCATCACAAAGCATGTTTGGTACCCACCCTGGACATAATTTCATATACAGAATGCACCTCTGGTTGGTGCCCTGGCAGAAACTATCATGGTCCTCTGTGTGGGAAGAGCGGCTTGCATCCCTCTACCTCAAGGGTGCCTATTCTGATGCATTTCCCCATTGTGCATCTCACTGAGAGCCTGCCAAGCTGTGGGCACCAGCTCTTTCTGCCTCAGGGTTCTGCTGCTTGGCCCCTCTGCAGCAACAAGGTGTTGAATTGGGAACCACTGCATGTGTCCCAAGTGCCCAGAGACGGGCAGCTCCACCACTTCCTCTGTGAAGCTGAGCTTACATTTCTTTTAGCTCCCTAAGCTTCCCAGTCAGTGCCAGAAGTCTCGCAGTTAATTCCAGTCTGATCCCCGAAAACCCTGTTGCCTGTGCAGGCACTTGTTGGGTACCAACCTGCCCAGCAGCTCTTGCTCACACCACGTCCTTGCCAGACCTTCCCTTCTGTTTCCCCAGGTGTGGCTGATTTTTGTTTACAGTTCCTTGCCATGAAGTTATTAGTTATCTGCCATTAGTAAGGGACTTGGTTTTGCCTGCCATGTTTGCTTTAGCTCTGGACAAACAGCAATCAGGATGTTTTACATGAGGTCCTTCTGGCAAGCACTCTATCTCAGGAACACCTAGACAAGCTGATAACCCAGTCTTCAAGTCATGGCGTGGTTTCCAAGATCAGCTAAAGTCTGCAAATAAATTCTAGAGCACCTGAGAAAGTCAGCATAAAGTGGAAGACTGTGACTGCTTTCAGAATTGATGGTGCAAGGACCAAAACATGATAGTGGAATCACTCAGAGAAAAACATGGTATTACAGAAATCTGGAAACGCAATGGAAAATTCCTTCAGCAAGACTAACTCAATGATACTGCAGAACAGTGTTTTTCTATTTTTCTTGGTGAGTGTAGTTTGCATCCATAAGACATGCCAAGAGAGACAAGAAGAGCAATGTATTAAGGTTGTGCACAAGATGACTGCTGCAGTTAAGTCTGAAACCTGGCTGAAGCTACTAATGCCTAACACGGACAAAGGAGCATTTAGTGAGCTGGGCTTCTATATCCCTGCCCTTGGCTACTCCTGTTGCAGGCTGCCCCTCATTTCCCATGTCTCTGCCAGGGTACCACACATCCCTGTCAGCCTCTCTGCTCGGGAGACCCACGCTGGCAGGTCTGAGAAGCTGTCCCTGTGCTGATCTCTCTCCGGTCACTGTTATCTCTGCGGCGGGGTCCTGTTCTGGGAGATGACGAAAATGCCATTCAAGGGAGTCAGCATTTAAAATGGGTCGTTAGACAGAAACGTCACAGTGTCTTTGCTAAAGATAGCCTGGTGCTGAGTAAAACAGTGCCTCTAAAACCTTCCTTTTACAACATGCTCTCTCAGCATAATAACCCCTCTGCCCCAAACAACCCCCCCACAGTGCCAGTGCCAGGCAGCTCCTGTCATTTTCCTGGGCTCTCCATCAGCCTCTTGTGACCGCCTCTTGGGAAGCTGTAGCAGGATGGGACTACATCCTCTACTTTGCTGGTTCTTACAAGGGACAAGCACTTCCTTGAGCGTGGATTCCTTTAAAAGTGGTTTTGAGGGCTAGTTGGAATAGTGCCAGGGTGCCAAGGCTACACGTGCAGAGAGAGTCAAGATGGAGGGAGAGAGCAGTGAGCTTGGTGTGCCCCTCAAGTGAAGCCAGGAGAGGGGGAGCAGGTGATGCTGGACTGCAGAAATGTATGTGTCTCCCCACCACGGTTCCAACTCCCTTCTCTCTCTCTCACCTTCACCCACACACTCACACCATTTTGCACTGCTGATTCAAGGGAAAGAAGAGGTTGATGCTTTCTGCTTGAACTGGTCACCACAAACTGTTTTTCTTGAGCAGTAGGAAAAAAAACACCTCCTGACAATTGTCACAAGTTCTCCCTCGTCTTCTCTCCTCTCTTTCTCTCTCATGCGATCCCATGGACTGTGTTACACAAGAGGGCATGTGGGACCACTACAAAGCACTCCCTTGGGGACATGGAGGCACATGAGGTTGCACCTGTACACCAATCCCACTCCTCAGGAGGCTGGAGAGCCATGTGTGATGAAAGAGATGAGAGCTGTCACTACAACAGGGGTCTGCTGAAGTGAGGCATAGCACTGGCTCTCTTTTATCCTCCACCTTCATCACCCAGCTGAGGAAAACTAGAGACCAAGCAAGGATCCTTCCACAGTCAAGAAGTGGCCACTATGAGTCACCTCCCTTCCCCCAGCTGGAGGAAAAGTCCCAGCACTTGGGGAATGAGCCAGTGAGGGGATTGGGTGTCTGACACTTATCACGAAGGGCTGATTAAGTCTGAAAGAGTCAGAGCAGTGGGCTGCTGGAAAGTGTGAACCTCAACAGTGGGGGTTCTCGGAGACAAAATGGGCTTCAGGATGAGGCACATGGATGGAAATGTATTGCCCTATGCAAAAGTCAGCAGCTTGATGGGAGCTAGATTGAGCCCCCTCTCTGCATGAGCTCAAGTGGGTTTTCCCAGAACTGCTGGTAGAGGAGGGTCCCCTCCTCAAACCCCTAGTAGTGCCACAGTATTCAGCCCCTCTTTTCAGTTCTGATTGCTTCTTCTGGATGCTCTTCCTCTATCTCCTTGGATCACCTGGGCTTTGTCCCATATTGGCCCTGGACTCTAGACTGATATGTCACATGTGCCCTAGTTGGAGCTTACCATAGACCCTTTTCTCATGCTGCCTGTGAACTGACCGATGAGAAAAAGCCAAGAAATTAGCACATTTGGAGGATTAAAGAAGGAAACAAAAAGACAATTAAGGGGGAGAAAAAAAAACACACACACACACAAAAAAACAAAAAAACAAAACAAAACAAAAAAACCCACAAAAAAACCCCAAAAAGAAATAACTGCAGAAATAAGGACCAGCATATTCTTGAAAGCCCTGAAACAATTAAAGAGAAGCTGTAAGAGACGGAAAGATCAAACCAAAAAAGGTAAGAGATGAAAGAAAAACATGAAGGGTACTTGCTGGGAAGTGTCTTCTACACTTTTTCCACTGGCTATGTAGAAGCGAAATTTGTAAGAAAAACAACAGCGACTCAAAGAATTTCCACTAAAAGATGCTTACAGCTGTGTCTCTGGTCCCTCCCTCCTCTGCTCTCACGTGCCTCAGGCTTATACTGGTTTCTTGGTCGTGACGCATATTCTTAGTGATATGAGGAAGTTTGCTGCCCACCTGCAATATAAGGGCATTTAGGAAAATGCTTTGATCAGAGAGAGAGAGAGAGGGCATGAGAGCAAGCACGTCCCACTGACCTCTCTTCACTCACCCACCCACTTCTAGCACCTTCTTTGCCCATGCCTCATTTTTGCTGACCTCTTCAAGCTTTGGACCTTGTCAAGCACGGACCCACGTGGGACACAGCCCCTCACCTTTCCTGGATGCCACAATGAGGCCGGTGTCCCTGGTGCTGCTCCTCACCTTTGCCCTGCTGGCTTTTAGTGGTAAGAGGGGCTGAACCTATTGGGGAGGGCAGAGTAGCTCAGTAAGCTGAGCCTGGGTGTTACTTGGTCCCTGACAAGGCTGGAAGGGAGAGTTTGTGCCCTTCCAATCCAACAAAGATGGCCAGATATTGCCCTGCTCTCTAACCTGCCCTGGCAAATGTGGCATCCCCACTCTTTGCTCAACTCTTCATCTTTTGTTACAGCTTGTCACATCCTAGCAGGATTAGCGGAGGGGGAAAGCAGGGAGCAGAAAATGTGGGTCAGAGAGGGGAGCTCAGCTGTGCTGCCCTGCCACTTGAGCCCCAGAAAAATGAGAAAGAGCTTGAAGCAGCTGCCTGACAAGACATCTGTGCTGTGGAAGAGGCATGGGGGAAGGTATGTCAGCGTCACGAGAAATTTCACTCCTTCTAGGGGGACTGGGAAGGTGGTAGACACTTTGAGCCCCTTTTCTCTTTCCCCATCTTCTCTCCTTCCTGCCCCCTCCCTTGATCTCACCTTATCCTCTGGGATGAGCCACTCACTTGTCCCACTTCCAGTGTCCACCAGGAGCCACATGGGGTACTGGAGGTGGGGTACTCGGGCCTCCAGAAGACAGCACTGCTCATGAAGCCCCGGGTGTCACTCCAGGACTCTGCTTTGCGCAATGGCAATTTCTCCCTGCGGATTGACCCTGTCCGCAGTGAGGACGCTGGGCTCTATGAGGCATGGGTGAAATACAACTCGGAGGTCCATACTTGCCACGTGGAGCTGGGGGTAATTACAGGTAGGAGAAGATGGAAAACCTGGAGAATGTTGATTTTAGGACCGGGAAGGTTGTAAAGGTGGAATGGGGCGGGGATGCTTCGTTTGGCTGGGCAGGTTAGAGTATAGGCGCATCCTCCTGAAAGTGCACAGCTTCCTGCTGTCTGCTCTCCGCTCTGGAGGGATGCCTGCCTGTGGGACAAGGCTAGGACAGGGGGACACAAAGGGTTGGGTTGGTAGTTTCCCTCTGATCTTAGCTCGCCTCCCACCCCAATACTTTGTGTTTTTTGCAGTAACCCTCAGTCCACCCGACCCTGTGGTAGAAAATGAACAACTCTTGATGAGCTGCAACTCCAGCTACCGGGCCAGCCTTGTGGAGACATGCTGGTTCCATAACGGGCACCTGGGCCTCACCTCCAGGACCTTCTGCTCCTTGCCTGGGGCTCTCTCCATCCTACGGCCATCCATGAGTGATGCGGGCTCCTGGCGCTGCCAGCTTCGATACTCTGATAACGAGATCATTTCTGCCACGTACAACCTGCAAATTCTAGGTGACTTCAACCTCTGTGTTCATATTCTAGCATCCCCAAGCTTATCCCTTTGATGTGACTAACCCCAATAGCTCCAGCTTCGCAGCTCCCACCCTGTCCTCACTTCCCAGGTCAGTCATCTCCCATCTTTCCAGCTGCCATCACACACTGTGCTCTTTCTCTGGCTCAGGTTTTGATGGCCCAGCCAACCCTGTGGTCTATGCTGCAGCTGGCTCTGCAGCCCATCTACCGTGCAGCCTGAGCTACCTTCCCAGTTCCTTTCAGATGAACATGGTGACAGCCCACTGGAGCCACCTTGCAGGAGGACACTTGCAAGACTGGGACATCTCTCCGAATCTGAGTAGCAGAAACTTTCCCCTGCATCTCCCTGTGGTGGGGCCGGGTGATGCAGGGCAGTACCTCTGTGCTGTCTCTGTGGGCCACAAAACAATCAGCAGGGAAGTGACCTTGGCAGTGGTTACAGGTGAGAGGAGAGACATGGAGGTAATTACTTACCCCTCTGGGGTCCCCCAGTGCTTACAGATAAACCTCCCACTTGTCAGTGCACTGAGCATGGGTAGCTCCTGATCATGGGTTCCCAACTCAGGGTGGGAAACACAGTCTCTGTTGAGGGCATTGCACTCCACTGGACTCTGCTGAAATTGGTTTTCCTTGGTGACTTGATTGTTCCTCTTAAAACTGAAGAAGACAAAGAAAATAAATTAGAGGAAGTAATAAATAAGGGATGTAATAGAAGAAGGATGGATGAGGAAGAGATGTAGACCTGTCTGTAGACTTTCCTGAGGTTTGTTTTTTTTTTCCTTTGCTGCAGTGACTCCAAGCATCCAAGGGCCAGTTTCTGAGGGGAGTCGTTTGCTGCTCATCTGCAGCCTCACACACTCCTTGGGACATGAACGTTTCCAGTGGAAGCACCTTGCCTCAGTCCCCACTAACAGCAAGCTGGCTGTGGCCACACCCCAAAACCTGGAGGACCACAGTGCCCCCATGGGACCTACCTTAGAAATACCCAAAGTGTCACAAAAGGATACGGGCACATGGGAATGCAGCGTATATGGCCCAGAAGGCCAACTGGGAGCAGTGGAGTACGAGCTGCAGATCACAGGTACTGTCTCCCATGTATTTGTAACCAACCTCTTCTTGCCATATTCAGTTCCTTGGTGCCTTTCCTCTCTCACCTTCACCCTTTCCTTCTCCCCTTGGACCACTTGGATCCCGTCTTCTTGTCATCCAGTCTTAGTTCTCACCAGTTCATTATGTTGCTCCTTCCAGTTCCCTGCACTCTTTCCCATTTTGCCCATTTTTCTGCAGTCCCAGCCTTGCCCCAGTGCAAAATCAACCTTCTCTCCCTTCCTAACTGTGGTTCCTCCTCACAGGTGCCCAGGTCTCCAACCCTCCTGCTATCTTCAGTGGGCAGATTACTTTTGGGCTGACACTTACCCTCTTCCTTCTACTTGCTGTCTGTGTTGTGGCTCTGGCCCTACAGAAAAGGGTAAGTATCCATCACCCCATTTCTGTTATTTTTCCTGTACATCAACCCTTATTTGACCTTACTGGGCAGCTCTGGCTTACCATGGTATTTGTCTGGAGACAGGTCAGACACCTACAGGGATGAAACCTCCTGAGAGACAATCACAGCCCAGCCTTGAAAAACTTCATGTTTACTCTCCCAGAGGTTAAGCCACACTGTACTAGAGAAGGGTTAATTTCCAGGCTTTTGTAGATGTCGTCTCTCTTATTCCTTATCTGGATGCCTTAATGTAACAGTCTCTGTATAAAACAGTTCCATATAAATGCCTACTGGTGCCCAGACACAGATCTCAATGCAGGGCTGTTGTTGCTGGCTCAGCCCTCACACCTCAGCCTCTGCTTCTGGCAACTTACTGACCTTCGTTTGCTCAGCTTGTTCCAGTATCTTGTCCTCTGAAAACTCTACCTTACTGTTATGATCCCAAAGACCAGGCTAGAGCTAATGGTTCCCAAGCATGTCCCCGGAAAAAAAGCTGTGCAAACAAGTCGAACCATTTCTCTGCAGTTTTCACACTGTTGCTCTGCAAATTAATTACACAGCAAATTCATCCTTCAAGGTTTCTTTTTGCTGACAAGACACACCTTTCGAGTGTAGCTGTGATGTAGCTGCTTTCTATTTAACTTCTTGGAAAGGCTCCACAGTGAAAATCCCCTTTAGTGCAGAAGGGGCTGGGGGATTGGAGCAATCTAAGTTCAGAAGAGCTTGCCCCGGTGAAAGAGCTGGGAGCCTTGGAACTGCCTTGAGTTGAACACAAAGGATGTGTTAGCACTGATGAAAAGTCTTAGCAAGTCCCAGTGGCTGGAGGATGAAGACAAGCAACATCGAAACAAAATCAAGGTCGGAATTTTTAAAAAACCACTGTGGGTACCACTAGAGCAGCTCGTGACAGGTTCTTCATTATTCATCCTTAATCAGCACTGATGGTAAAAGATAGTCTGAGGCAGAAATCTACAGTTTCTGGGCAACTCTCTGGACTGTGCAAGTCCAGGACAAGATGATCAGAACCACCCTTTCTGGCCAAAAGCCCGGGGAGAAATCCCTTGGCAGTGTAACTCTAAGGCCTCAGCTAGCAGAAAATAGGACACCTGGGTGTCCAGCTGTTAGTTAAACTCTCATGCAGCCAGGATATTTACCACCCCAAAACATTTGCATGTGCCCTCATGGCTGTGCTTTGCTGTGTTGCAGCACAGGCCCTCCATCCACAGGTGGTCCCCAGCCAGCTCTGGGTGGCCCTGCTCTATCAGGGCGTTTGGACTGAATCATGCCCAGAGCTCCGTTCCAACACCAACATCCGGTGATTCTGTGATTCACGCCCTTCTCTGCATAGACTCCCCGCTGGGCTCATCCCCCGTCAGAGTGCAGATGAGGTGCCTCGAGCAGAGGCACCAGCTCTTCTCTGGTTCTCTCCCTCTCTCTGCTGGCATCCTCTGAGATTACATTTGCTCTCCTTGCATTAGCTGGACACAGGATGCTCACCGCAGTGTATCATGTGCACTCGATGGGCTGTTGCCCACACATTAGGAATTCCTATTCCGATCCCCTGAGCCTATCAACGTGCCATTGGTATTGTTGCATTTCATTCATCCTGTCACTCAGTTTAGTGCTCTGTTCTCCTAAAATATCTGGGTCTTGTGTGACATTTTCATCCTCTTTCTTCCAAATGAGGCTCCTCAACTTTATCAGTTACCTAACTCATTAGCACTTTCACGCTCTCTGTGCCAATAATGACTGATCTTTGAAGGCTTGTGCTTATCATTTCCCTACAGCCTGACAGAAACATGCCAGCAAAATCCCAGTCCCTTTTTTTTAGCTGGGATTACACCTAGCTAATCTCATCTTTCTTGCCATACTGATTGTCTGTGTGTTGCCCTATACTTCTACCCTGTCAGAAGCCCTGAGATCTTCATCTTTTGCATTGTCTAAAAAGTCACTTGTGAAAGTGGTTCTGTCTTTAATTTGTTCTTATCTCATTTTGCACAACCCCTCATGCCTTTACAACTTCTCTCTAAAAAGGTGTTGTAAGATCTGGCATACCTTCAAACCTGACATTGGCCTGACCATTGCCCAGATCACTCTTTGCTCTCCCTTAAGCATGTCTTGTCTTTGTTATTCCTTATGCCCATGACACCACAGAGGATCGTGTTGGGACAGCATTCCCCAGAAGAAACTATAGGTCTCAGAGAATGGTTTCTTCCCCGGCTCTAGGAGGGAATGGGAGCCTTATGGCTGCAAGCAGTAGGACCATGTTTTCCATGGCAAGGAGAAGCCCACTCTGCCATGCCATTCAATCTCCCTCTCATACCTGATGTTGCCTCTTCTTTCCCTTTCAGGCACGGACTCCTGCCTTCCCAGCACTGGAAGGGATGTCTGTAGTCCCTGAGCCATGGAAGTCAATGAAAGAAAACCAGAAAGGGAAGATCCAACAAACTGAGTGCTGACAGGAGCAGGGACACCAGGGCTAGTCTTTGTGGGAGGATGAAATTCTGTGTGCTATGCTGCAGAGAGATGGGCACCATGCAGACCTGTCAGGGGGGTCGAGGGACGGCATGAACAATGCAGAAGGCCTTGGGAGCTCTGCACCTGCAGGGGGGCTGGGAGCTGCCTGCCAGGGCAAGGCGAGCCTCACCGCTGCAGTAAGGTGGCCAGCAGCACAGATACTTTGGAGCTATTGGGAGTATTTGAGCCAGTAGCTATTGCCTGCTTCAGTGCCACATCTCTGCCCACTATTTGCCCCTCCTCCATGGCTCCTTTCACAACCTTTCTCTGGTGGAACACCAGGACGCAGGAGATGGCTGCAATCTATCTTTCCTGCAGCCTGATGGTGCTTTCTGCCCCCCTTGCTCTGTTTCTTCTCCCTCTGCCTGCACTGCCCTGATCACTGCCCTGTTGCACAGTTTGAGCATTTTAACTTATTAGAAACTCATTTTAGAACTGAAAATAAATCTATGTGACAAAAAAACCCGCCGATCCCTGTGTGTGCTTTTGGAGGATTGTGCCTATTTGACAGTGCTGGGTGTACCTCTGCCTGTGTGAAGCCATTTCTAAGGCCTTTGCTGCCTTCTCTTTCTCATTCTCTTTCAGTTCTGTTTTACTGAAGTTGCCTGTTCGTTTCTGACATTTTCACAGCAGGGAAGGGGAAATTAAATGCCGCTAGAGAAGAAAGAATCACAGGTTCAGTCTCTCCCTTTTGCTGTGTTTCAGAGTCTTTTTTTCTTTCTTTTTCTCCCATATGGCTGTCCCTGTTCATTCATTCATTTATTCCTTTAGTTCTCACATTTTCCTGAAAGATCCACAACTGATGTTAGGGCTCTCTGTCACTCTCCTCCTGCTAAGCATGTATTTAGTAATATAAGTGTGAGTCTGCCAGGTCCCATCTCTCAAGACCTTTAATGTGTTTAGCTTTCATGTAGTCAGAGAATGCTCTTCACCTCCTCTCTGAAAAGCTGTGGAGGACTGTGGTACTGCTCTTGAACAGCCATTACATGCCACCCTAGAAGAAAGCCTCCCTAATAAAGAGAGCCACACATGTGGTGTTTCCCATATGGGTCCCCAGGCTGTGGCTGCTCAAGGAGGCAGCAGAACAAAAATTAAGCTCTCAATATTTAAGAGGAAAGATTCTCTTGACTTGAGTAAGAGGGATCAGTAGCATGCCAGATTTTCATTATTTCACCAGGCATATGGAGAGACCTTACTGTGTAGCTCTCACCTTCCCTTCCCAAGAGGGAAGCTGCATTCACAGCTAGCGAAGGCACTTTGGGATCCTCAGACTGCTGGTAGTGGAGCAGCACCCAAAAAGTCACAACTAGCCCACTCTGAAGAGCATGTCTGGACTCCACAGCTCTTTAGCTAAACAGTTAGCCATGTATTGTACTGAAAATGACACCCATTTCTCCACTGAGTCCTAGAGAAATGCAGCAGAGCCGCAAGGTAGACCTGTCTGGTTCAACCATCCCATGCAATTTCAGTCAGAACCAACAAAATGCAGGACACTGATACTACCATTTTCCTAGGCAATTGTTAATACTGCAATTTTTTTTCAGGTTGGAGTGATCTATAGCTCAATCCCCTCTCTCTGCCAGATATTTTGGAGATAGAGAAAAGGTACATGAGTCCCAGTGGAGCTAAGGGGCTGTCCAATATTCATCGGGACCACATTGTATTCTCTCAGTGCCTCAAAGCAGTTTGCTCTCTCTTCTCATACACAATAGGATGCTCTCTCCTCCTGTGTGTAACACTTTTAGCATTGCCTTTTACCAGCCTGATATTCTCATTGCTCAGATATGTGCCTGCTCTCTTTAAAGCCCCTGTTTCCTTGTACTCTCTGGTTTCCTCTGGCAATCAGTCCTTGGGTCTGCTTTTTCACTGTGTGAAAATGGTTTCTCTACTGGTTTTGAATTCAAAGCTTTCTGGTTTCATCATCTGTTTTCTTTTCTTCTGTCACAAAACCTAGAAGAAGAGGGACTCCCAAATCTATCATATCTTAGATGGTCATTATTTTATCACCTTTTATCACTTTTTTTTTTTTTTTTTTTTTTTTTTTTTTTTTTTTTTTTTTTTTTTTTTTTTTTTTTTTTTTTTTTTTTTTTTTTTTTTGTTATTTCCCCATCCCCTCCTAACTTATTGCCTTTCAGGTACAAATCCCAGTTGTTGGGACTTTCCCCCTGACAGTTTGCACAGGCCCATCTCTATGAATGGCCAACTCTCCTCAAGCCCTTTGCTCTGGAAGAGGAGGCAGCAGCCCGGCAGGGGAGCGGTGCTGGTTTACACGGAGACACAGTGCCTTTCTCTGCGTTACTTCAGTCTGTCCCTTCCTGGCTCCCGGTGTTTTGTCTGCTCCTCTGAGAAAAGTTCCCCACTGAACAACACTGAGCTTGTACCCAGCTGTGCCTGTCGTGATGGCCAGGGCTCTTGCCTGACCTGGTGCACTGAGCAGTTACAGTGAGCAAAAGCCTCCTCAGCTGGGCAGGGAAGAGAAAATGTAACAAAAGCCTTGAGAGTCAAGATAAGGGCACGGAGAGATCATTCACTGATTACTGCCATGGGTAAAACAGACTCGACTTGGGGAAATTAATTGAATCAAAGTAGGATATTGAGAAAAGTAAACACAAATCTTAAAAGAAGTCCCTCCCACCACTCTGCTCTGACAACTGGAGCACCTCCTCCCCCTCCTTCTGCACTGATCTTGATGTCTGCAGGGCTGTTTCTCTCACATATTCTCACTCCTCTCTCTGGCTGCAGTTGCTCATTTTTTTTTCCACCCCTCCAAACCAGGTTATCCCAGAGGTGCTACCACTGTTGCTGATGCGCTTGTCCTTGGCCAGCAGAGGGTCCATCTTGGAGCTTGCACTGGCTCTGTCAGACACAGAGGACACTTCTGGCAGTTTTTCACAGAAGGAAAACCTGTTGCTCCCCTGCATCATAAACTTTGCCATGCAAACCCAATACACAGAGGCTGAAAACTTTGAAATAAAACACAGGAAATCCAGTGGATTCCCTTTTGGCAGAGAGGGGAGCTTAAGGAACGCAAATGAAGTGTTATGCATGCAAATTCCTTTGCATATGACTCCTCCAAAAGGAATAGGAAGACAATCTTAAATCCAAAATTAATCTTTTTTTTTTTTTTTTTTTTTTTTTTTTTTTTTTTTTTTTTTTTTTTTTTTTTTTTTTTTTTTTTTTTTTTAATGGTGCTGATCTTTCTTACCAAAAAAAGAGCCAAAAAAACCCCTAGGTCCAGATGCTCTGCATCCAGGACTTCTCAGGGATTTACAGTGAGAGGCTAAGTAAGTGCTAGAGAATAGTGTAATCTGACAAAGGAGCAACTATAAACACATCTATTGTGGTCTTGGTACATTCTGTACAGACTTTAAAAGACAAGAAAATACTAGAAGCTGAATTATGTAGGATACTAAGGCACACTGAGTTTTACACTTGCATGGCAAATTTGTGGGAACAATTTCAGCACCAGTCCTGCAAAAAACACTCAATGACTTACTACTCTGCTTGTATTTCTTCAACTCTTCTACAAGCAAAACCAAAATATCTAGGGTTCTTAATTTTGCCTTCTAAAGTTTCCCTCAAACCAAGTTCCTTACAGGAATGGTGTTGTTGCAGGTACTGTGTCTCGTGCCACCCACTGAGATTCAAAGCATCTGGGACAATCTTTTCGTAGTTGTGGATTCCATCGTGCTCAAGAGTTTCTCTCCGTAGTTTCCATCTTTTCATCTGCCAGTTCAATGTGACTCACTCCAAAAGCTGTCATCTGGTGCGCTCTGAAAGGGATGTCACTCCCACCTCAATAGAGGGGTTTCAGAAGGTCTTAAGGAAAGAGGGCATGAGTGCCTTCCAGGAACACTGGCAGGAAGTGACACATAAGGACAACTTCTGGGAGGATTTGTTAATAATTCTCATTCTCACTGAGGTTTCTCATGTTCCTTTTCTTTTACAGGCACTGAGTGTCTTCCTTTCTCGTCACCAGGCCAGCATCCCCCTTTTTGCATGGAACATGACACAGGTTTTGGACCAACGAGAAGGCATCAGCAAGCTCCCTAACAAGCTTGGGGGGCTGTCAGGAGCTCAGCTAGGACTCTCCACTTGGGCACTCCTTATCCCTTTAAAATCCTAAATTAGACATTAGGAATAAACTCTTTACTGTGAGGGTGATGAGGCGCTGGAACAGGTTGGCCAGAAAAGCTGTGGATGCCTGGTCCCTGGAAGTGTTGAATGCCAGGTTGGACGGGGCTTGGAGCAACCTGTTCTAGTGGAAGGTGCCCCTGCCCATGGCAGAGGGGCTGGAACGAGATGATCTGTAAGGTTCCTCCCAACCCAAACCATTCTGTGACTGTATGAATTCGCACTCCCTCAGCGCTCTGAAGGGGCACCTATGCTCGGGGCCGAGGGCACGGCAGGGGCCGGAGGCTGCAGCTGCTGCTCCTTCACTCTCTCCCTCCCGGCACAGAGCTCCTCTCCTTGTCCCGAGCCGATGCCGCCATCTACTGTCCTCCTGCGCCGGGATCCTCCCGCCCTCGCGCCGCGCAACCGGGACATCCATCCCTGGCGCCTATTGGGCTGCGCACTCCGTGACTCAGCTGCCCAGGGACCGCTTGGCACGCCCAGCTCCTTCCCTCCCCTTGCTTTCAGCTGAGAAAGCTAAAGCAAAATTTCTCACAGTTACTGCAACCTGACGGCGTGTGCCACTGAGTTACAATACGCTTTAGCGCTCCCAATCCCAAGCTGCTTCCAGTGTGATATTCCAGACCCTCTGTGCTGATGAAACCCCTCCAGCAGTGCATCAAAACAAATATTGTCACCAGCTTCTCCCCCTTCCTTTTGCCAAGGTCATTAAAAGTGAGATAGATACAGTTCCTTAAAAACTCCCCCAGCTACCTCTCTCCTGCCTGTTGCATTTCTGACACATCCTTAACATCAGGTTGGTTTTGTTTAGGCTGGCTTTAGCCCCTGTCACCTTCAGTAACACACTATTGCAGTTGGTGGTTCCTCGACCATTCCTCTCTCCAGTGCCCTTGGAGTAGTCCCTGACTTCCCAGCACACCTCGCTAGTTTTGCTCCATCAGACTTCACACCTCCTGCCTAAATACAGGGGACCCCTTGCTCATGAAGAGCATCTCTGCAGGTTTCCCGATTTTCCCCTGTGATCAGCAAATGAACCTTCATGATATCTGCTTAGAGAGTCCTTTCTTCCCAATCAGGCTTCTGCAGAGAGACTCCTAGTGCCTGCAGAGAGGTATCTTCCTCTGGCACAACCTAGGAGCCTTCCTCCCTTCCAAGGAACATAGATGTGCTGGGGCAAATCAGCAGGCCCCCTCACCAGAGGGCTGGTTGTTTCTAGCTCCCCACATCTGGCGGTAGAAATGCCCTCAAAAAGCTCACCAGGTGTCAGTTTTTCTGTTACAAAGAGAACGTTCCTGGCCTTTGAAGCTGCTGACAGT